GGGGGGGGGGGGGGCTACCCCCCCCCGCCCCGTACGCCTATGACCATAGGGAATCGAAGAAAAACATGTTGGCAGGAGCCCACAAGAAATTTGAACGCCGCCGACCGAACATGCACGTGCGTACTATAGCCTAGAAGCCCAAGAGGAAGGCAAAATAGAAGTGCCCCACGATATGGTGAGTTTTCACCTATTTTTTATTCTCTTACTACCTGACTGGAACGCGTGGTTCAAACAATAAATTAGTACTCATTTCTTTTTTCCCATGCATTGGAATTTAAAACTTGCTATCAATGACTTGCATGCGTTTGATCCGTGGTTTGATATTAATAAACTATATGCTTGATTTAAGTTTAGTTTCAGAAATAACAATGTTTGGTATGGTGAATATATTGAGATTAGTTCTACACAAGATGGAACACTTCAATTTCCTTTAGACTGAAGTTGTAAGTACCTGCTATATGCAGGATGGTTCTCGCGTCGCTGACGCCAGATGGAGCTTGGTACCGATAATTGAAATTTAATTTGTGTGTAGCCGCTACCTCACGTGAAAATATTGTTTTGATAAATTTAATCAGGTTTATTTTTAATATGCGTTGGGTAGTGTTGTAGCCAAAAGAAAAGATTGAAAACATACAGTTCAAATGTTCGTATCGTATTTATCTAATTTTTATTTAAATGATTCGTCACAACCACATATAACAGCCTTAATTAATTAACATAAGAATACAAAAGATCGTAAATTTCTCGCATGGAACGAACTGTTCATGTCAAACAAAGTAACTTATGTTACATAATCCATAATAGTTTATATCCAGCAACTTGTAGAGAATTGGGAGCAACTTTTTCAATTTTTGACAACTTTTGAACAACTTTTTGCCATTTTTCGAACAACTTTTACTCAATTTTGTATCAGAATCGAAAATGGCCTACTTTATATAATATAGATGTTAACAATTATATAAGGCTGCTCAATAGCCTCAATTGTCATTTTAATTATTGATAAAAGGAGAAATTTTGCCACATTATGAGAGATACGAAACCAGCCGAAATTCTATATTTGCATGTGTACAGTTCTGCGTATGTCATATTTGATACAATCGACCAAAGCGAAAAATGTTTTGTAAATCCAATAATTATAGGCTAGATATTCTCATAGAAGTCTTATAGAAGATAACAGAACTTTGTCACATCTTTTGTTTTGAAAAGACAAAGGAAATCACTGCCGTATCGGTGGTTTTATATGTGATAAAAATCATGTTCATGCATTTACATCAACTTTAGCTTTGATTTTCTCGGCTTAGACAACGTTCATTTTTGAAATTACGTCGCCAATGAACTCATCAGATGAGTCTTTTTTTAAACCATTTAAAACACTCGCAGTCCGTGCTTTATCAGATATAAAACACTCGAGCTGCGTTCTTGTGTTTTAGATCTGATAAAACACTC